GGAGAGATCGACACAGTCCGCGACGCAAGAACAATCTCTACCATGGTCCATTAGTTCTGGAAACTTTTGACAGTATTCACAGTCTTCCTCAACAGAGTTAATGGATCTTTAAATTTGATCTTTTCAGAGCTTCAGATCTTCTGCTTCAAGTTTTTAGATTTAGAGAGTTTTGGTCCTTCACCATCAGGCCATGAGGAGTTGGAGCAGGTAGACGAAGATAAACAAAGATGCTGTTAAGGGAAGATTCGCACACACTGTCACTTTGTTAAATGTACATTGATTGAGCTGCAGTTGCTGCTTCCTCTTCTTTCTCTGGTGTTTTTCTGGTAGAATGATCAGTGTTTGTTGATCTGTGATTCTCTCCTCACACAGAAGCTGTGCTTTTCTTTCCAGCAGCGCTCCATTGTCTTCAATTTCATTCTGAGCTCCGTGAATGAATTCACGTCGCCCGCCCTGCCGAATGCTGCCACACTGTGCCAACACTGGTGCAACATGGGCTGTGTTGCTGGTCGCCTACATCGCTCGTGAAATCCGGGCCAGGGTGGGTCGGAGGCCGAGCGCAGATGAGTCACTTTCCAAACCTCGCTTTCATCATTCAGTGTGTTGATGAGAAAGAGAAATTTCAGAAGATAATTGAACGTTTGACATGAAGCTTCAGGGTGATGAGTTCAGGAGACAACAACAACACTCGTGCACAAACAGGTTCCTCAGCTTCAGCACTGAAACTCTCACTCTGTTTAGATCAGGTTGAGTGATCACGCAGCCAAGTGTAAGTGCTGGGTGGGTTTTACAGTGGTTTCTCACTGATTATTGGTCAGCAACTGGATGAATGTGAGCGATAAAAGAGATAAAACAGGAAGTTCTGCTAAGAAAACGAGATGTATTAGTGGAGCGGGAAATCAGGCACGTGTGTATGTGTGAACGGGAAGCACATGGCTGTTCAGGCAGGTGGAGGGAGAGAACAGGTGAGCCAGGGGTCGGCTTTTATACTCCAGGAGGCGACAGGTGAAACAGGTGAAAGCAGCATCAGCTGATGACCCCCCCCCCCCCCCCCATTGCCAACCACTGCTGCTGATGTGCAGGAGGGCACACGATGGGAGGGGCGTCACATCATATGAAACAACATGGAGACACTCAGGGCTTAGCAACAAAATGAGAAGTTTGGAATCATGGAGATGTAGATAATGAAGACGAGAGTCTGACTTCACTCTGCAGTAAATCCACATCTACATCAGGTATGAGTTTTTAATTCTAACAGTATTAAATATTTTCCAGTTAAATCAATCAGAAATAAGCAGCAAACGAGTACTGCGCATTAAATCCATACATAACCCAAACTGCTGATGCCTTATCGCATGTAGTTACAACCCTGAACAGGTCACCTGACACAACAAACAACTTCTCATTATTATTATTATTATCATTATTATTTAATTCGTTTTTATAATTCATATGATAATGTTATGATATTTGGTTTTTTTTTTTTCATATTTATTGATCGCTTTTTTATTTGACAGGGACAAAGTGAGAGAGACAGGAAATACAGGAGAGAGAAGAGTGGGAGAGAGACATCAGTATAAGGATCCGGCCGGCTGGGAGTCGAACCCGGGGACCCTGCTGCTCAGGGCTCAGTACGCACATATGGGTATGTGTCCATCAGGACGCCCCCTACGGCCACTTAGCTTGCCAATTGACCCCGGAGGGAGAACATGAGAACTGCACACAGAAGGTAGCTTGTCCCGAGTTCAACACAGAACCTTTCCTGTTGTGAGGAGACAGGGATTATAGGTATCGTGCAAAAACACATGGTCCAAACACAATGATTGCTCTTGTGATGGTTGAACAACTTGATGTTGTTTAGGCTGCTGCAGCTGGACCGGATCATCCTGGTTTCCCCTGGATCACCTGGATGTTCATGGACTTCACTCCCAGAGTTCAAGCGGAGAAGGAGAAGCAGAACCGAGGCTGAATAAACACCAAGGAGCAAGTTTATGATTTAATGCCTCTGTCCGACGAACGCTCACCATGCTGTTGCAGATGTTGGAGTGTCGTCTTTAAACACCGAGTCACACAAATGTTTGAAGTTCAGTTTTAGACCTCAAATTCTCAACAAAGAAAAATGAAAAACAGCTGGATCTGAGCTGAAGACTGCACGAGAGGAAGTCTGAAAACAAGGAGGAGCTGGAGGAAACGCAAGGCTCACGAGGGCTGTCCCATTTGTGCTGTCCTCTCTTGTCTGCTCTCTCTGTCTCTCTCTCTCCTGTTCGGCTCTCTCTCTCTTCTGGTCTCTCTCTGCTCTTCGTCTATCTCTCTCGATCTCTCTCCTCATCTCTCTCTCTCTCTCTCTCTCGTCTCATCCGGTCTCCGATGCTCCTCTCTCTGCTCTCTTCTCCATCAGGTGAGTTTCTAGAAGCCCTCCCCAGAGCAGCCGCAGGCAGCTGACTCACTCCGCTGACATTCAGCCCACACTGTTGTCTGTTCTTCTCGCTCCTCTGCCTGCAGCTCGCTTCACAGACCCTCCCCCTCTCCTCTCATCTCCCTCTCTCTCTCCCTCCCTTCTCCCTCTCATCCTGTCTTCTCCTCCTTCTCCTCCTCCCTCTCTCTCTCTCTCTCGTCCTCTCTCCCCTCTCCTTCTCTCACCCCTCTCTCCTACTCTCGTTCGCCTGCTCTCTCTCTGTCTCCTCCCTCCTCTCTCTCCTCTCTCCCTCTCCCTCTCTCATCTCTCCTCCCTCTTGCAGTCTCTCTCTCTGCCCCTCTCCTCTCTCTCTCTCCCTCTCCCTCTCTCCTCCTCATCCCCCTCTCCGTCCTCCTCTCACTTCGTCCCTCTCTCCTCCTTTCTTCTCTCTCCCCTTCTCTCCTCTCTTCTCTCATCTCTCTTCCTCATCGTCTCTCTCTCCCTCTCTTTCTCTTCTCCCTCTCGCTCTCTTCTCTCCTCCCTCCTCTCTCCTCTCCCCCCACCTCTCCATCCCCCTCTCTCTCTCTCTCAGTCTCATCTCTCTCTCCCTTCTCTCTCTCCCCTCCCTCGCAGTGGGCTTCAGACAGAAACCAGAAACAGAAATCGGCTGAGAGTCACGACGCCTCGCCGACAACAATAAACAACTGACTGCTGGCATGATGGTCAGCTGGCTTCATTCACTGACCTTGGACAGCCATCGACACACACAACCACACACACACACACCACACACACACACACACCACAACACACGACAACACACACACACCGCTCACAGCACTCGCCTCTCTCTCTGGTGAACTGTCTTGCGCTGTTTGTTACTGGCAGAGACACCCGACATGAATCCGTCTCGGATGACAGGTGTAAACTGCTCACACAACTGAAAGTTATGCTCTGGATATTGGCAAAGCTCCTAGTAGGAGCGGGCAGTTGTACTCTGTCTCGAGGGCGCCCTCAGCGGTCGGTCGCACATGACGTGCCGATCATTCCCGTCCAGGTGAAGCATCATCTACGACGCGCCATGGTGAAACACGAGCAGCGCCGCTCTTTATGAGCGGAGAGAAAAGCACTGAGTCAGTGCAAAGCTACTATAAACATCCTTGCGATGTAGCAATTTCCTCTGCTTTCCGAAGTTAAACGTCAAGAAATAATTAAAGCATCAACAGAACCAAACATAGTCAACAAAGAGCTGACGAAACTAAAGTACCATGAAATGTGTGTTGTCTCTTATTACCCTGCATTTATCCTATAATCTGTCATCTCTAACATATGCAAATTATAATTAATGTTTCTAACTAAAGCAACAAAGCAAGTTACCGCCCACTGATACAAGTTTTTCATCTTCTGCCTATAATAAGTCACACAAATATATTTATTGATTTGTCTTGTATCATTTAATCTGAACTCTGCATAAGTAAGACTTATTGATTATGATGTTCTGATAAGAGTCGTTGTCATTATTTAAGTTGAACATAGTTTGAAACCAAAGCATGAAACGAAGGTGTTGCTGCTGCTCCTCTTTGTTTACATGTTTAATCTCATTTCAAACACCGTGAAACCAAGTCATTCAACAAATGATTAAATCCTTGTATTTACAGTTAAGATCTGAGTGAGATCGGATTTCTCTATTGGTGACAACAGTTTATAAGACAGACAAGTATATTGCACAGGGTGGACAGTGTCACGTGACATTATCATAGCAAATATCATATCCGTTATTCATGGATGGACATCTA